CGAGTCTCTTCCACTCACACTGTATCCTGGGTCTTTCCTTGAGAACCCGAACTCAGCCAAAACCATTGGCTTCCTTAGTACTGTCCTCGAGTCGGTCCAGTGACTCGACATCCACCTCTGCATGAACAACGCTTGTGTTCCCTCGTTTTGCCCCGATAGCCTGTTACGATCATTTAATGATTATATACTATTTCCGTATAGATACATACATACATACATACGCACACGCACACACATATATAGTAGCACACCATATATCAGGATAGGCGTGGATTGTAGTGAAATCAATCTCCTTGATAAGATGATTTCTTATAAAATCTGTGCCAACTTGGTAACCAGGATTAAACTGCTTTCTGTCCGGAAAAGAATCGCCATAGAAGCCTTCCATGCCTACGCTCAACAAGTGCTTGCTGTCTGTGGATTTCAAGAACGACGCCGTTTCTTGCACCCATCTCTGCCGGCGACGTCAATTTAATATGATTCTTATAAAATCATTAATGAAAACATATATCAGTAGACGAAATAATTTAACTAATTAGCATACGTTGATGGTGTTGCCAGAGCAATCAGATTGGCAACGTGGCTCGTTCATCAGCTCCCATGCCATGATCGTGGGGTCATCTTTATAAGCAACTCCAGTTACTGTATTGACACGTGTCAGCACTTTCTGTGGGGCCGCATGTATAAGAAAATTTCTAATTAATTAATTAATTAATCATAATTAATTGAAATTAAGAATATTAATTGAAATTAGTTAATTCGTACCTCGACATGGTTTTTGTAATAACCTTTGATGACGGCGTTAGTGTAAAAATCATCGTCGCCGTTAACGGCCACGCCGGCAGCTTTAGCCCATGCCACATACTGTGGTCTTCCTCCGTAGTCACGGTAGTTGTTAGTCAAGGTCAATATCATCCTAATCCCGAATTTTCTAGCCTCAGCAATCACAAAATCAAGGGCCTGATTTAAACAAGCCCAAAAAAGAAAACCTTGAATTAACCGATGAGAATTTTTTTAAGTGAAATATTGTGTTGGCATATTTTTAATATTTAGAGAATATATGTATATATAATTACCAATTATAAGTGATGTAGTTAACTTCTCTTGCGCCAAAATGAAGTACTTGATGGGTTGATTTTTCTAAAATATAAATAATTAATTAAGAAATTTTATTTGATTAATTTAATTTAATTATTATACAGCAACAATCCCTTAATCAGAAATATCTACTTGACAATTACATTTTTAGATTACATGTTTATGGATTGACAATAGACAATTAAGTTTCTGAATACAAATTGTCAATAACACGTAAAAAATTCTATTAACTTTCTCCATGCAAATAAATTGTAAAGTCTTGATTAATATTTTTATATTTTATTTATATAATAATATTTAATTTAATAAATTTATAAAATTAAATTAAGTATCAACAAATTTATTATATTATTAAACGAACAAAATATTTTAACAAAAATTTAATTTACTATTTTATTTATTCAACAAAAACGAAAAAAAAAAAGGTTGTAAATAATGTGACTAGTATTTATTTATTTTTTCTTTATTTAACCAGTATTTTGAAATGGAGAAAAGGTAACGAAAATTAAGTTTCTTTCTATCTAATCAAAATCACTTCAAAATAAGAAATTCACAACGATAACCTTCAAACCTTACCCAAAAGACAAATGTAAACACGTGAACATGTATGTAAATAAATC